CGGGCCCAGCCAACGCGTCTCGTGCTGGAGCGCAGACAGAGGCGGTTCACGAGGCGTTACAGGCCTACGACGAGCAGGTGCCAGGGCCACGAGGAGCCGACATAAGGGCACCAAGGTAGGAGCAATGAGAGATTCAAACGCACATGCACACAACCCACAACCCACAACCCACAACCCACAACCCACAACCCACAACACACAACACACAACACACAACACACAACACACAACACAACACAACACAACACAACACAACACAACACAACACAACACAACACAACACAACACAACACAACACAACACAACACAACACACCACAACACAACACAACACAACACAACACACCACACACACACGCACACCAACACACACACACAAACGCACAACACCCAAAACACAAAACACGCGCGCACACACACACACCGCACATACACCCTGGCCCGCACCACTCCTCCTGGACGCCTGGAAGCTTTCGGGGCATAACTCGAGCCTCTGGCGACCGTTCGGGGCGGCCTGCTCGGCGAGACGATGCTGCCAGAGCGCGCCCCAAGGAAGGAGAACCTCCCGGCGCCGACGAGCACGCCAGAAAACCTCGAACGTCGAACCTGCCGAAGCGAAGACCCAGTCCCCTGGCCCGAGGCCCTGGTACCCGTGAGAACTCCTGGGGAAACCAGCAGATGTCAGCTCTCGATGCCGCTGCCCTCCGGACCCCTCCCTGGGTGCGTTCGGAGCAGGACCTCGAGGCGAATCCCGCCGTGGCGGCGAGGGCCTCCCAGGAGGCCCCAACTGGCGAAATCGAGGCAGAGGTAGCGGTATCGATACGGCAGGTTCGCATCGAACCGACTTCGACACCTCGAGGATCGTTCAACATTGAGCGATCGGTCGCTTCCGAAACGTCGGATCGTTCAACATCGACCGATGCTTGGTCGCCGGCGGCGTTCCACGTTGAACGCCAGCAGCGGGGTCGTGTCGCCGTTGGTTGACGCGACGCGAACCCGCCGTATACCTGGGGGCGGCGGGTCCCTCGCCTCCCAGTCCCCGCCTGCAGATACTTGTGCTGCCAGCTGCTTCTAGCATTAGGTCGGGCCTGTCCCCCTACAGGGGGATTTTGGATGAAAAATTAAAGATTTTCGATCAATATTCAAAAAATGCCCAAAAATGTCACCCGACTATTTTTTGCCTATTTTTGAATATTCACCCTGTAGAGGGACAGGCCCGACTGCATTCTAGCAAAGAAAACCCTCTGGAACAATCCCCCTGTGCGCGGCGCGCCGCCTGACTCAGCACGCGCGGCAGCTCGAGCTCGGGCGGCTCCCCGGGCGCAGGCGCCGCCGAGCCGAGCAGCGCCAGGATGGGGGGCGAGAGGGCGGAAGGGCGGATCTGTTGGCGATGCATCGCCAGTGCCAAGTCAGTGTTCCCCCCTCACTCTCTGCTCCCTGCCCCTGGTTCCAGGCAGTGCATCTCCGACTCCGTGCCAGGGAGGAGACATATATATATATATATATATATATATATATATATTTATATATAGAGAGAGAGAGAGAGAGAGAGAGAGAGAGAGACAGAGAGAGAGAGAGAGAGAGAGAGTCAGGCTGGGCGAAAGGGGGGGATAGCACAGGGGGGGATGAGAACCAGCTCACGCAGCTGATTTTCCCGGCGCCCCCTGGGCGTCGGAGGCGGCCATGCACCGAGGACTGGGCCCCTCGGAGGGGCCGAAACCAGCTGCGCGCGGCAGATTTCGTACGCCCCCCCCCCTTTCCCTGTCCCCCCCTCTCGTCCGGCCCGATGAGCGAGAGAGTGAGAGATCGACAGACCTTCAAAAAGGGAAAGTGAAAAAACGGGGGCGAGGCCGGACGCCAGGCTCGGCCTCTCCGGCCCAGCCCCGCGGCGCGTCCGCGCCGCGATGCTGGGCGCTCGCGTGGGCGCCTCGCCCCCGGCAGGGCCACGGGCGCACAGGGGGCCAGGGGCCCACGCCCCGCAGGGGAGGGGGAGGGGGCGGGAAGGGAGGAGGAGGGGGAGGGGGGGGGAGGAGGAGGAGGAGGAGGAGGAGGAGGAGGAGGAGGAGGAGGAGGAGGGAGGAGGAGGAGGAGGAGGAGGAGGAGGAGGAGGAGGAGGAGGAGGAGGAGGAGGAGAGGAGGAGGGGGAGGAGGAGGGAGAGGAGGAGGGGGAGGAAGAGGAGGATGGGGAGGAGGAGGAGGAAGAGGAGGAGGAGGAGGGGGAGCAGGAGGGGGAGCAGGAGGAGGAGCAGGACGAGGAGGAGGAGAAGGAGGTAAGCTAAGATAAGACCGATCGCGAAGTGAGTAGAAGGAGGAAGAGGAGGAAACCGACCGCGAAGCGAGTACGAGTACGAGGAGGAGGAGGAGGAGGAGGAGGAGGAGGACCAATACAAACCGCAAACTAATCAACGATGTTGAAATACACCCTCCCTCCAAGATCCCTCCTCATTGGCCCCTACACGGGGTCATTCCCACTGAGGGAGTTGCCCCGCTGGAGGGCAACCGTGTGAACATTTCATGCCAAAACATAACTTTCAAGGCTTCAACACCACGAAGTATGTATACGGACTGTTACGTCCTGGTGATCTTGAATTGAGCCAAGACAACATTCCTGGGACTTCAACGCCGCGAATCAACGTAAGTGTCGCGCCCTACCAATTCAGAATCTTTCCAAACCACCATTTCTGGTACGCGAGCCATGAGAAGCAGTCAACAGCTGGCAAATGTTCGAAATATTTGTGCGCGGCGCTAAAGCGAGACCCACATTTTAAAAAAGAGCCGCCCTCAATCCGTGAAGCAATTGCATCTCTCCACGCATCCCCAGTGGGGTTTCTTGTTCTCTCTGCACACCTCCGCGCAAAACCTCACCTCACCCCCTCCTCCTATCATTAGCATACCACCATGATCACCGATTATCGCGATCAATACCTCAGTCTCTCGCTCATTCACCCATCACCCAATCATTCGTTATCGTGATTCCATCATGGTCATTGGCAATCATCATCATCATCAACAACCACTCACTCCCGCTCTCATTCACGCTCTCACATCACCGCACCATCCACTCAGTCATCATCATGGCATCGTCCGTTATCGTGATATCGTCACGAATCGCGTCATAATCCAACACCCTCTCCTTCTCATTAATTACCACCACCACCACAATCGTCATCATCACTCACTCGGTCGCACACTCACCACAATCATCACCATCACTGTGCCCATCATCATACGAGCATCACCATCATCACCATCATCATCGTCGTCACCATCCAACAACACCGTCATCACCATCTTCATCAGCCACCATCACCACCATCACATCATCATCACCATCATCATCGCCATCATCCAACATCGTCATGATCATCCTCAACACTCACCGTCACCGTCATATGAACACCATCACTCACCAGCACTCATTGTCACCATCACCATCATCACACATTTACCACTATCACCATCCCATCAGGATCATCGGCCGAAAGTGAGCTTCGTCTGTAAGTAATACGCGAGGAAATCTCACGCGGGAGCCCCCTCCCTATGGGATCAGGACTTCATGTTCGAATCCGAACGATTCATCCAAATCCTGTAACTGTCGTCCCTGATCGGCTCCTCAGGCCTGAACGTAAAGAAGGTCTTGGACGGCAGCCTCGTCTGTGAGTGAATATTGAAGATGTCTCAGGGGGTGCCCCCTCCCTATGGGGCCCGCGCTTCATGTTCGAAACCGAGCGGGTCATCCAAATCCTGTCAGTGTCGTCACTTTTGGGCTCCTCAATGCCTGAATCCTGAGGAAGTCTTGGGCGGGAACCCCGTCCCTTTGGGGCCCGCGCTTGGCGTTCTCATCCGAGCGGTTCATCCAAATCTTGCAACTGTCGTCACTTTTGGGCTCCTCAGGCCTGAATCTTGAGGATGCCTCAGGCGGACGGGGCCCGCGCTTCATGTTCTGAACCGAGCGTGTCACCAACATCATGTAAAAGTCGTCACGTTTGGGCTCCTCAAGCTTGAACATTGAGGAAGTCTCAGCCGGGAACCCCCTCCCTATGGGGCTCGCGCTCCATGTTCAAATCCGAGCGGTTCATCCAAATCTTGTAACAGTCTTCACTTTTGGTCCCTCAGGCTCGAATCTCAAGGAAGTCTCAAGCGGGAGCCCCCTCCATGTGGGGTCCACACTTCATGTTCTAATCCGAGCAAGTCCTGTAGCTCTCGTCACTTGGGGGCTCCCAAGGCCTGAATTCTGAGGAAGTCTTAAGCGGGGCCCCTTCCCTTTGGGGCCCGCATTTCACGTTCTCTTTTTCTCCAGCTCTTCGCGGCGCTAGAGCGGAGGGCCACATTTTGAAAACGACCCGCCCTCCATCTGCGAAACTGTTGCCAACTTTTGATTCAGGTCCATAACTGGTGTGGACAGCTCAAGCGAGACGCCGGGCCCGCCCAAAAAACTGGCCTTGGGGTGCGACAAGGAAAAGAGATGGATAAGGAAACGGCACGGCGGAGGAGAAGGAGGAGGAGGACGAGGAGGAGGAGGAGGAGGAGGAAGAGGGGGATGAGGAGGAGGAGGACGACGAGGAGGACGACGACAAGGAGGAGGGGAGGAGGAGGAGGAGGAGAAGGAGGGGGAGGGGGAGTAAGAGGAGGAGGAGTAGGAGGAGGCGGAGGAGCAGCAGTTGGAGGAGCAGCAGCTGGTGGAGCAGGAGGAGGAGGAAGAGGAGGACGAGGAGGAGAGGGAGGAGGAGGAAGAGGAGGAAGAACAGGAGGAAGAGGAGGAGGAGGAGGGGAGGAGGAGGAATGGGAGGGGAAGGAAATGAAGGAGGAGGAGGAGGAGGAGGAGGAGGAGGAGGAGGGAGGAAGAGGAGGAGGATGGGGAGGAGGAGGAGGAGGAGGAGGAGGAGGAGGAGGAGGAGGAGGGTATCGCGTGGCGCGTGCGAGAGAGAGAGGAGGGGGGGAGGGGGAGGCGGAGGCGGAGGGGAAGTTCGGGGAAGGGGAAGGGGACATGTGACATGTTTAGAAGGGAGGTAGGCGAGGGCAGGAGCGGACGGGGGCGGACCCTAGAGGCAAGGGCGCGGGGCCGAGAGACAAAGAGAGAACCATCTCATTGCAGCATGAACTTCCGTCGTGGCCTCCAGCCACTGCGCACGATTGCAGCTACCAGCCAACAGTAGCTGAGCTCAGGCCTTCGGAAACCACCGATACAGAACCCCACATAGAGAAAGAGAAACAGACAGAGAAAGAGAGAGAGAGAGAGCGCAATTACGATTAATAATGATAGCCACCCAAGGGGCGCACTTAATCCTTTCTGACACACGCGGCGCGGGGGGCGCTAAAGTATCGAGGAGCGCACCCAGCACGGGGCCAAAACCAGCTGCATGCAGCAGGAGTAGGACCCCCCTTTTTGAATCCCCCGCTTTCGCTCGACGCGGCGAGACTGACCCGCGGCAAGCTCGTGCCGTGACGGCCCTGGCTCTGGTTTCTGGCAGCGCGTGGGTCGCTCAGCCTTGCGCAATCGACGGCTTCTGGTTCGCCAGGTCGTTCCGCAGTGACCCATTCCCGCCGACACGACCGGAACCTGCCGCGGTGGTGTGCGGCGTGCCGCCGATCTCTGCGCGCGGTGCGGCTGCCACGGCCTGCGTGCGTGGGCTTGCCCTTGCCCCCACCGCAGAAGCCAACCGCACAACTCCGGCGAAGGGCCGCTCCTGTGTTGTGTGCAGCCGAGGGGAGGAGGGACAGAATGTCCGGAGCGCTCCGCAGAGCTCCACCGCAAAAGCAGCCGCACAGCTCTGGCGAAGCGCCACTCCTGTGTGTCGCCGGGGGGGGGGGATGGGCAGAAGATCCGGAGCGTTCCGCAGAGCTCCCTGGGGGTGGCCTTGCCCCGCCCGACGGTCTCCGTCGAGCGCGGCGGCCCCTGCAGACAAAAGAAGACGGACCTGCTGGCTGCCAGAGCGTGGCGCGGAGGAGGGGGAAGGAGGAGGAGGGGGAAGGAGGAGGAGGAGGAGGAGGAGGAGGAGGAGGAGGAGGAGGGAGGAGGAGGAGGAGGAGAAGGAGGAGGAGGAGGAGGAGGCGGGGGAAGGAGGAGGAGGAGGAGGAGGAGGAGGAGGAGGAGGAGGAGGAGGCGGGGGGAGGATGATGAGGAGAAGGAGGAGGAGCAGGAGGAGGAGGAGGAGGAGGAGGAGGAGGAAGAGGAGAGGAGGATGAGGAGGAGGAGGAGGAGGAGGAGAAGGAGGAGGAGGAGGACGAGGAGGAGGGGGGGAGGAGGAGGAGGAGGAGAAGAAGGAGGGGGAGGAGGGAATTACATCGGCCAGCCTGGGCATCGAGGGGTCGAGGAGGATCGAGGCCCGGGGTTCAAGCTGCTCTGGCGTGGCTCGCCCGTCTTGTGCCTCTGTGAGGCTCCTCGCCGCCACGGCCAGATGTGCTCGGCGGCGAGCGAGTGGGAAAGTGAGAAGGGAAAGGCCTTCTCAGAAGGCGGCGGGACACCTCGCGCCTTCTGAGAAGTGTTGTCTGTCTTCGGAGGAGACTCAGGAAAATTCTCAGAAGGCCCGAACCTTTTCTCCAAATAGGCTTGCCCTATAGGAGTCCTAGCTCAAACTCTACGAACTGGTCCGTTGCCCCCCCTAATTCCTATGCCCCCCCTAATTCCTATGGCTATGCCTATGCCCATGCCTATCCCCCCCTTTTTTCCAATGGCACCCCCCTCTTATGTATGGCTGCTTGCTTGCTTGCTTGCTTTCCTCATTGCTTGCTTGATTGCTTGTACGCTTGCTTGTTTGCTGTATTGCGGATTCCAAGCATGCTCGATTCCTCTGATTCCTTGGTTTGAGTCGTCTCCTCTATTTGGAATTAACGCTGGCTGATATTCACTTCCCCCCTCGCTCGCCGCCGATATGCCTCTCCAAATTCTGGCCCGGGCGCACCCCAGGCGAGATCCGAGAGGAGGTTCTAGCGAAGGGGCAGGGCTGGTTCTGAGAGCGTAGACTGGAAAGACAAAGCGCTCGGAAGGTAATCGGTTTCTACCCCAGAAGGCGCAGGCGAAGGACCCAAAGATTTCTGCTAGAATTCGAAGCACACCGAAGACCATTGGACAGCCGTGACTCGTGACACCCAATTGCGGTCCAAGACGGCCACAAAGTGATCCCAAGACGGCCCCACAATGGACGCCCACCGGCCCGGCGCAGATCCAAGAAATCCGCGCGGACCTCCGAAAGTTCATGTTGATGCAGTTGTTCTTCTTCGGAAGAATGAAGGGCACCGATAGGGGGGATCGAGGAGGACGAGGGCGAGGGGACGACGAGGGCGAGGAGGACGAGGAGGAGGTTGGCGCAGCATCCACGGCAACGACGCCGGATGCAGCACCGTGGCGCAGAGGCACGGCGAGCACTGCGCCGCGTCGGGCACGCGCCATCCCTGAAGGCGCCACCGGCTGGCGATCCCTGCGCGTCGTTCACGGTGGCGATCGTGTGCCCGCCGTCTTCCTGCTCGCGACACCAATAGCCGCGGCTGCAGTACGCAGCGATTGGTGTGTGTGTGTGTGTTGTGTGTTGTGTGTGTGTGTGTGTTGTTCGTGTGTGTGTATGCGCGCACCACCCGTCCACCTCCGCTCTTGCCCTCAGCCATCGGTGCCCATGCCTGTCCCCGTTCGCCCCGGCCCGACAGGCCGACCATCCCGTGAGCCGTGCGGTGCGGTTCCCTGCGGGTGAATGCCGCTGCGCCGAGCCCGGTGCGCGCTCTCCGCTTGAACAACTCCGCCGCATTGCTGCGCACGTGGCCGCCACGTCAGGAAATGTGTCTGCGTGCGTGCGCGTCTCAACGCAACTCGGCCTTTGCATCCTCAGAACATGATGCAGTTCAGACGTCCGCTTCCAGTGCATGCTTCATCGCGGCTGTGGTGCCACATCGTCGGCGAAGGACACAGGTGTGCGTGTGCGTCGAGCCCCTGGTTCTTGCCAAGCTCCGCCCCTGAACGAGACAACCAACACGCCCCCCCCCCCCCCCCCCCCCCCCCCCACACAAAAAAAAACACATCGAGGCAAGCATGCGCCCGGCCTCCTCCCTCGTGCCCGCGTGGCCTCCGACAGAAGAAGGATGCCCCAACACAACCTGACGGTATGAGGGGCAGCGTTAGGGGGGGTGCCGGCTCAGGGGGATGAACATCGACCTGGAATCGGCGACACATCGCCGATGGGTCAGCGACATGTCCCCAATAGCAGATCGGCACGCTGCTGGGAGGGGTGGGGCTAGCGGGCCCCTCGCAGCGATCAATCTATGATTGGGGGTCGATGCATCCGCCCCCCCCCCCGGAGCCTGTGAGAAAAACTCGGTCCCCCGTTGAACGACTCGCTCCCCTGCGGAAGTTCGAAGTGCTTTCTCAGTATATGGAACTTCTGACTGGGCTCTCGGCGGCCGCCAAGAAGGCTTTTGGCGGCCCCTGAGAGGGTTCTTGGCGGCCCCTAAGAAGCCTCCCGGCGGCCCCTGAGAGGGGTCTTGGCAGCATCTGAGAAGATTGTTGGCGGCCTCTGGAGGGTTTTTCTGGCTGCCTCTGAACGACTTCTTGGCAACCTCCCATTGGAAGCCTTTGGGGGCCCTGAGAGATGCCTCTGAGCGGTCTCTGATAGCCTTCTGAGGGGCCTCTTAAAGCCCTCGTGGATGCCTCTGAGGGCCCTCAGAGTGATTTCCCACCGAGAAGCTTTTGAGAGCTCTCAGAGATGCCTTTGAGAGGCCTCCGACAGGCCACTGGTATGCCTCCGATAAATCCTCGAGATCCCTCTGAGGGCCCTCTGAGAGATCTGTGGGAGCTTTCTGAGTCATCTGAAGCCGTATGAAGAACTTCTTGTGGCTGGGTGGCCGCGGCCGCACTCCTTCGGCTGCGCACGTTCCTGGTGGGCCACTGTCGCGGGAGGAGAAGATGCGCATGCACGTTATCCCCATCGTGTTCGCCACTTTGAAAAAAGGAGCCGCCCGCACCTCCTCTGGGCCTTCTCTGGTTGCCCCCTCAGCCCTCAGAGGCCTCGGGCCCCGCCTCGCACGGCGCCTCCCTCTGGGATACCTCGAGAGGACCAGGAGTGGTGCTCAAGCGAGAACCCCGTTTTGAAAAAGGTGCCGCCATCAACCTCCCCCGTGGGCCTGCTTTGGTTGCCCCCATCAGCCCCCCGGAGGCCTGAGTCCCTGCTTCACACGGCGCCTCCCTCTGGGATGCCTCGAGAGGGTCCCTGTTGCAGGCGAAGCGCAAACAGGCAACATAACATTCAGAACGACAGTTCGTCAGAGCAAACGAGCAGGCGGCAAGAACATTTATGCTCGAGCAGGACAAAGGAGCAGGCGAGCAGAGCAAGCGGAGCAGGCGAGCAGAGCAAACTATCAGGCGACTGGAGCAAACGAGCAGGTGACTGACGGCGGCAACGACATTACCCCGCACAGCGGGCTCCCTGTCAGTCACGACTGTCAGCACTGATGGTGATGGTGGGTTTCTGGGGCTCTTTCCTGGGTTGCGAGCTGTTGTGCTCGTGGGTGATTGTGGGTCGGCGGTCCTCCTCCTCCACCTCCTCCTCCTCCTCCTGCTCCTCCTGCACCTCCTCCCCCTCCTCCTCCTCCTCCTCCTCCTCCTCCTCCTCCTCCTCTTTTTGTTCCCCTCCTCGTCCTCGCCGTCGCTCTCATCTTCCAGCTCCTCCCTCCGTTCATCCCCTGGTTCTCTGGCTGTTCTTCCTTCAGCCTCTCCACCTTCTGTTCCTCGTGCTCCTTGTCTTCATTTTGTTCCCTCTCCTCCTCCTCCTCCTCGATTATCTTTCCTCTTCCCCCCTTCTCTTCCCGTTCCTCCTCTTCCTTCTCCTCATCCTCCTCGACTCTTTCCTCTTCCCCCTCCTCCTCCACTTCCTCCTCCTGCCGCCCCTCTTCCCTCAAATTTTTTGTCCGTCCCCATTTCCTCCTCTTCCTCCGCCTCCTCCTCCTCCGCTTCCTCCTCCTCGCGATGGGTCCATCGTGCGCAACACCTTTCGGTGATTCAAAAGCGCAGGTTCCCCAACACTGAGAAGAACAAAGCCATTGCTACGCACACTAATACAACAACATTTCTGACGAACTCGTTCCCCGGTCGGATTCATGTTGTTTCGGCGGCGACGTCGTGTTTATGGTCGCTACGACATCTTAACGCAACGGTTTTAATTGTGAGCCGCGCCGGGGAACGATTTTGTTCAAATCGGTGTTGCTTCCGCCGGGGAACGAGTCGAACAACGGGGAAACGAGTCGTTCAACCGGGGAACGAGTCGCTCGCCTGAGCCTGTCCCCCCCCCTAAACACTGCTCCCGAGGGACGCTCAGTGACCCCCCGCCCAGCCACTGGCCCCAGCGCCCGCGCCCAACCCCCGCAGCGGGGCGGCAGGTGCGCGCGGCAACGCAGCTGGATAGTACGCCGTGCACGTGGAGGCAAGGGTCGCGAGAGGGTTGAGGATCGTGCTAGGCTGCCTGGCTGTGACCGCCTCGATCAAAACGACGGCAACGAGTACTACCATGGCGTACGTGTGGGAACCTGGCTCGGGCATCGCTGCGAGCGCCATAGGTGCTAAGCTTAGTGTGAGGTGGGCAAGGTGCAGAATGCGGCGTTTTTGAGGGTGTGAGGAAATTGGTGGCACAATCTCCAACAGCTTGAACCAAAAAGCGGCTGCAGAGGCGGAGGGTGATGACGAGGGGAACAGGAGAGCTGGGATCAGGAGGACGGGGAACAGAGGGATGGGGGAGGGAGTGATGGAAAGAAGCGATGGAGGAAGGACAGGAGGATAGATAGGTTGGGGGAGGGATGCTTCGGGGGGGAGAAAGACGGGATGGAACCAGAAGCGGAGAGGGTGGGAAGGTGAAGGAGGATGAGTCGAAGCACGAGGGGGGGCGTCGCGAGACCCATACCCTGAAGCAGTGTCGCGCACAACGGTCAACGAGATCACATCACCGATGAAGTGTGGGCGGTGCCTGGACGACATTGGGAAACGACGGCGCTGTGACAAAAGCAACGCCGCCTGCCAGATTTCACGACGGAAGGCGTACGCCCGAACGAGACAGGTGCCAGGCCCGCGCGAGCGGACAGCGTGCCCTCCCTCATCCACGTGCGCGTGGGAGGCACAACAAATTCGCCAGCCCAGCGTGCAGGAAGGGTACCAGAATCTGTGATGCAGGCGAGGGTTTCAAACATCGCAAGCTCTGATTCGCGCGCGCGCGCGTGGAGGCCCCCCAGGGGGGGGGGCACGAGGGGACAGTGCCCCCCAATCACATTCGCGGCGGGGTGCCAGAACGCCCGGGCGCGGCCCAGAAGACCACCGACCAACCGCCGGAATGACCAAAGATGCCTTCAGGACGCGACCCACACGCCCATGGCGGGTCTCGAGACTGCCCGGTAGCCTCCAGCGTACTTCCTAAAAAGCCCGGGGGCCGCCGCAAGACGGCTCCGAGTGGTCACACAGCCTCCCAAGGATACCCTCGAGACGCCAACCCTAAGGGCGTGCGTGGTCTAGCGAGCTCGTTCTGCGAATGCCTTTTTCCCTTTCAGGGATGGGGTTTTGAAGGGACCCTGGGATACGCAAATAAATAGACACAAATAACGGTATATTTTCAGGGTTGTTGTCTTCCCCCCCACTTCCCATATGCTCCCATACTTTCTGTGGAGTCGGCGATTACTTGTGTCTGTGCTTTTTCCCCTCCTGAGGTGTGCCCTTCCCCTCGCCCCTCCCCCCAGGGTCTGGACGGGCCGGGGGCCGCGAGGCGTTGGAGCGTTCCAAGAAGGCCCCACAGGGCCCACGATGACCCCCCTTGTGGCCCACGATAGCCCAGGCAAACAAGCAAGGACACCAGGCGCCCATGCGGCGCATAGACACGACAACGGATTCTTCGAACTACGCTGAAGAGAAGGCTGCGCGGAAGGGGGGCGAGGGTGCGCCGACGGAAGGTAACAAACAGAAGAAGCATTGCGCGTATGGGAAGACGCACGTTGACCACTGAGTTTCGGGCGTCCACGTTTGCGCTTGCGGTGCCACTGCCTTGATGCAGTCCCTCCGGGCTCGCGTGCGAGGTCACGCAGGATATGGCTTCGGGAACATGTGTTCTATTGTTATACAAATTGCCTTAGGTCGACGGGCGATGGGCGAGCGCATGCACGTGTCCTCACCTGATCATGTTGTACTTGTGACGTGTTTGATCCAAAACCTGTCGCAAATACGCCGCCTGGAAACTCTCCAATCTGTTACTGTCTTCGCTGGGTAACCATATTGGTTCCAAATTGTACAACACAAGGTCGGACGTATAATGGTTCTGCTCAGTTTTGATATGGTTTGCCTTGTCATATTCGCATGGTTCCAACATGTGCCCAGCAATTTGAATAGCCATTCGTTTTCCCAATTTGCTGGTTCACCTCGGGCTTGCTGTTCACGTTCGCGTCCAATGGGCCCCTGAAAACACTACCTGCCCCACATCTTCCAGTGTGCGTCCATCCGGTAAGACGACCTGCCCGTCGCTGAGCCTTCTCGTTCTGAGCATTTCCTCCCATGTGAATTCGAGCCCGTATCCTTCGCCTTGCTGTACAACCGTACTGGGTATAGTCCCACCAACCCTCGAGGGCGTGAGTTTTTTTTCAGCGGGGGTCCCCTTCCAACTTCCCCTCTTTCCTTCTTGGGAGAGTCTTGCCCCTCAGGGGGGCAACGTGTCAGGGGGTGGTTTGGGGCTCAAGATGGCTCCAAGAAGGCCTCCGAGAATCCACGATGACCTCCGATATTTTTCAAAATGACGCAAACTCGCTCAAGATGGTTTCGCCCCAAGAGACCCCAAGACCAATCCAAAACGTGTCCAGCCTTCCTCAGACACTCCCAAGGAAATCCCCAAGAGGCCAGCACAACGTGAAAGGAATCAAATCCGCCGACCCTGTCGGCGTGTGGAATGGGTTGTTCTTCTCGTTTCTCGTCCGTGCCTCCTTCCCTTTCCCACCTTCTCCGTCTCGTTCTCGTTCGTCCTCCCCTCCTCCTCCTCCCCCTCCTCCTTCTCCTCCTCCTCCTCCTTCATCTCTTCCTCGTGCGTAAAAAGTAAATTGACTCGAAGGGTTTCCACTTCCCTTTGTTCCCTTCCCTGGCCCAGGGAGAGGGGTCCCGGGGGAAGCCCGGGGGGGGTCCTGGGGGAGGTCCCTGGGGGGGTCCTGGGGGGGGGCCCGGGTCAGAATACCACCTCCCTCCTCATCTTCCTGAGCGTCTTTTGCCACCTTCTCCATCTCCTTTTCGTTTGTCTCCCCATCCTCCTCCTCCTCCTCCTCCTCCTCCTTCTCCTCCTCCTCACACACTTCCTCAGCCTACCCTGTCACGTTGTCCTTTAGCTCCTTCCTGTGATCACACATCCCGTCGCCATCGACGGCCAAAATCTTCAGGGTCGGCGGCACCGGCCGCAAGGCCTTCACAATATTCCAGCCTTTCGCACTTTCGCTTGCGATGGGCACCGAGAGGGCCCCAAAGCGGCCCCGAGAACCCCAAGAGGCAACACTGAGAGCCCCAGGAAGGGGGGGCGTTACCTCGACCCTTCCGCTCTTTGGTCAACGTTGAATTGCCCCGACGGTCGGAGCCCGCTTGCAAATCTGCCAGACTTGCCCCTCTCGCTTCCCTCCTCGCCCTGGCGGGGGCCATCCTCCCGCCTTCTGGTTGGCCTCCTCCTCCTCCTCCTCCTTCTCGTCCTTCTCTTCCTCCTCCTGCAGCGTAGCCGAGGGGGCGCTCGGGTTCGTGCGTCTACGGCCGACGGGAAGCGCGCCAACTGCCACCCGATGAGCGGGAAAAGGTCTTGCGCCTCTCTTTCTGTAAGAGCCGATTGCGGCCATGGGCCGCAGAACGGATGGGACCCGACTGAAGTTTCCCCCGAGAGTTGGGGACATGCCTGCCGAGACGGCCCGAGAAGCGGGCATCGATACTGTCGGGCGACGGCTCCTCCCGCAGAGACGCGTGCTGCAGATGATTCGCCGTGGGTGAAGGGGTTTGGCCACTCGCGTCCCAGCACTCAGCGGGAGCATCGGCGAGCCGTCTCTCACCTCGAGGGTTATACGTCGTTCATTTCTACTCGTGCTCATTTCTAAGTGTGCTCGTTTCTCATTGTTCCTGGCCCCCTAGTGGCCAGGAAGAGGCCCAGGATAGAGCAATTAGAAATGAAAAGGTCTTGGTCCCCAAAAAATCCAAGAACTTTCGAAGACTTAGAACTGAACCGTGTGTGCTTATTCCTTTCTCCGAAGCGGCCCCGAGAAGACGGCCACGGCGCACCCCAGCAGCTCTCGCAAGGCCCGGTCCCGGGGAGCCCCTCGGGCGGCGTGACCAGAAGTGCTCCGCACGCGAGGGGGGGCGGGGGAGCCGCCGGCTCGGGGCAGCGCGGCCCTGCCCCCCGCAGCCTCGAGAGCGAGCCCCTTTCCCGCCGCGTGCAGACGACGCATCTCAGAGGGCCACGATCTGAGCGCGAAGAGGGCAGCTCTCACGAGGGCAGCCGCACCCGTGGGGGTGACCGAGGGGGGCCTTGGGTCACCCCCCACAAGTGGTGGACACACCAATCTCTGTCGCGGATGGCCCGAGAGGGCTGGTTAAATAGGCAGGTCAGAAGCGAAGGCTCCCTCAAGGAACTCCGAGGATGGGCAGAACAGAGACGGCGCGCTGGGAGTCAAGGAGGCCGGCGATGGAGGACGAGGGGTCAGAGGCAGAGAGGGTGAGAGCACGGTGCTCCAACTTGGTCCTGGGCACCGCCGAAGATTCCAGGCGGGCCGCGGGACCGATCGACAGCCCTAGGTACTTCGCTACCGCCGCCCTCCTCCTCCTCCTCCTCCTCCTCCTCCTCCTCCTCATCATCGTCATCGTCATCGTCATCGTCATCGTCATCGTCACCATCATCATCATCGTCATAATCATCGTCATCGTCATCGTCATCGTCATCGGCATCGGCATCATCATCATCACCATCATCATCATCATCATCATCATCATCATCATCATCATCATCACCACAACCACCACCACCACCATCATCATCATCATCACCACTATCACCACCACCATCACCACCACCACCACCACCATCATCATCATCACCATCATCATCATCATCATCATCATCATCATCACCATCACCATCACCATCACCATCACCATCACCATCACCATCACCATCACCATCACCATCACCATCATCATCACCATCATCATCACCATCACCATCACCATCATCATCATCATCATCATCATCATCATCATCATCATCATCATCATCATCATCATCATCATCATCCCTTTCGTCCTCGTGATCATCCTCCTTGTCATATTTTTCCTTGTCCTCGTCCTGCTCCTTGTCCTTTACATCGTTCTCATCTTCTTCTTCCTCCTCCTCCTCCTCCTCCTCCTCCTCCTCCCCCTCCTCTTCCCTCCCTCCTTCGGTGGCGAGGCGACGGCCGGAGGCCGGAGCTCGGCGGCAGGCTGCCGAGCGAGCTGCAGAGGCTGCCCGAGCTCGTGCGGCGCGTCTCAGAGCAGAACACGGACAGCAGTCCCAAGTCAGCGTCTTACCATACCTCTGCTCCTCCTTCTCGTCTCCTTGCCCTCCTCCTGCCCCTTCCCCCCACCATGCACGTCCCCTTCCATCTGGTCGGGGCGCGCATGTCGACTTTCTTTGGCGCTGTCGCCGCGCCGCCCAATATCGGCGCGTTCTCCAATGGCCAGATCGCGAAGCTGTTGG